GGGCCTGAACTCTGGGCCTGGGCGCTGTCCCTCAGCTCTTCAGCTCAAGGATAGTGCTCTACCACTTGAGCCACAGCGACACTTCCAGCTTTTTCTGCTTATGTGGTGCTGAGGAATTGAACCCAGGGCCTCATGCATGCAAGGCAAGCACTCTACCACTGAGCCACTTTCCTAGCCCCAACATGTAATACCTTAAGGACTCTACATTGAGGGGCCTTCAGAGGGAGAGAGACTAGATAGAACATTTGGATGTTCAGAGACGGGACAGAAATTTCCAGAGTTAAGGGTTCAGCAAGAGCAAAAGCTGTGGAGTAGAGAAAAGCAAAAAGCTGTATACGGTCACAATGAGGGATCTGAAAAGGGAAGACATCTACCCTGACAGCACTACATCTTGCAAAGAGCTCTTTTCCACTAGAACATTATGGGGAACTATTTTAGAATATAAGTTCCTGGAGATCAGGGTTTGAGTTTCCAGTCATCTTTATGTTTTTCAACCTAGTATACAGTGAGTGCTTAATAAGTGGAAAGTCCAGGATCAAAATGCCACCATGTTCTGTGTCTTTTTTTTTTTTTTTTTGTCAGTTGTTGGACTTGAACTCTGAGCCTGGGTGCTGTCCCTCAGCTCTTCAGCTCAAGACTAGCACTCTACCACTTGAGCCACAGCGCCACTTCCGGCTTTTTCTGTTTATGTGGTGATAAGGAATCGAACCAAGGGCCTCATGCATGCGAGGCAAGCACTCTACCACTGAGCCACCTTCTCAGCCCAAAGGCAACTTTTAGAGGTTCCTTTTGAGAAGCAGGGTTCATATCAGCAGCTGTAAAAAGCTTTCTGTACATTGTTGTCCCAAGTTCTCTTGGCACTCTGTGGGTAGTATCTTTGGTAGTACATTTCATAGAGGAATCAAGTGTCAGGGTAACTCAACAGGTGGCCTGTTTGCCTTATTATTGTGCCTCCTGTGGGCACTTGCATAACCTTGGATGTGTGACCCAACTTTGAGCATTTTCCCCCCCTTTGGCATATCTTACTATATAGTCCAGGTTAGCCTCAAACTCAAGTTGGTTAGCCTTCTACATAAGCCTTCTGAGTACTGAGATTACAGGTGCAGCCCCATCATGCTCATCTAGACTCTGAACTTTGCCCAGATTCATGATAGAGCAAATTAGGAAGGCCATGTGCGAACAGCACATGCTGTTCACCGTCTTCATGACTGTCACCTCCCTGACTGTCACCTCCCCGATGCACATCCCCATCATTTTCCTAGCTGAGCCTGTTGGCTATCTCTTATATTTGTTTTTGTTTTCCATCAAGACAAGGACCTTGCTTCTGGTATCACTGCACCAGAGTACACAGTCATACATTTACAAGGCTCTTGGAAAATATTTGTCAACTGAATGACCAAATCAGACCAAAGTCCCCCACTTTAGGACTTGCCAAATTCTGTCCAATGAGAGGAAATTGGTTACTCCACCCAAACCTAATCTGAGGCAAAGCTCTGACTAAAACACCTACATTTGGCCCTTTCTGCTTCACTTCATAGCCTGGCAAGGACAAACTAAGAAGTTGCCAGAGACAGTGGTGGATAGAGCTTATGGGAGAATTCTACTTATACAGCTTGTATGACAGTTACCTCCTCCTAACAATTGCTGTCACACATTGATGATTCTGGGGGCTTTAAGAGCCTTCACACATTGATGATCTTGGTTTAAAACTAGGAAGGAAGACAGCCCTTATCCTTGTCTCCTTGGAATTCCTCCCAAAAGAAGGACTCGGAAGGAAATGCCTAGCATACTCTTGAGTATACACAGTAGAGGACCAGGCCTGAGAGGGGCAACACTTCAAAGGAGTGAGGTTCAGGGGAAGACATTTGTCTTCTGGAGAGCCAGAAGCATCCAGGCAGTGGTATGCAAGGCCACTGATATAAGGGCTTATGACAAGTGGTTCTGCCTGGCTGGTAGCCTGGTGCTGGAGAGGAAGCAGGATGCACTAGGGCAGCAACCATGGTGGTGGTGTCCTGAAAGATATCAGATCCAGCCCACAGGAGGATTTTCAGTAGAGCCAAGATGATCTGGCTGTTATTTGGGAGCCATCAATAGTGTAAAGAGAATGAATAGCCGTGGGAAGGCTCTTGAGCTCTCAGAGTCTCAGTGGTAGGTGATAGGGGTGGCAAGGCAAGCACAGTACTGAGGCCTGAGACCTTCCTGTGTTTCTGTGCAGGGGATTTTGTGCAATTACCTGTGCCCATCATCCAACAGCTGTACCACTGGGACTGTGGCCTGGCCTGCTCCAGGATGGTGCTACGGTGAGTGTACATATCACCTATTATGGCTCAAGGGACACACAGGAAACCTCCTTTGGGATTCATTTGTTTATGTGTCTATCTTTGAGGCTTGTAGGAGATCCACCTTCCATTTATTGCATTTGTAAATGTGAACAAAGGGTAGATCTGCTGCCCGGGTCTCCACTTGTGCTAATGCCTAGAACTTGGAATGGCCAGGAAAGTCGTAGGGACCCAAGCCTAGCAGAAAGGATATCCTCCACCCTCCCAGGAGCCTCATTCATAGAGCTGAATGCTCTATGAATATTTTTTTTAAAAACTTGAACAAGCCAAAAGAAACTATAGACATTACCTTATACAAGAGTTTTCAGGGGCTGGGAGGATGGCTCAGTGGTAGAGTGCTTACTTTGCAAGCATGAGGCCCTGGGTTCAATTCCACAGCACCACATAAGCAGAAAAATGGTGCTGTGGCTCAAGTGGTAGAGTACTAGCCTTGAGCTGTCTTCAGCTCAAGGGACAGCACTCAGGCCCAGAGTTCAGACCCCATGACTGACAAAAAAAAAAAAAAAAAGTTTTCAGTTGGCTCCAAGCCACAGAGCAGCTTCTTCCTCGTGTGTTATACGTTTGGGATTATGGAAAAGGGGGTTAGCAAAATGGTGCCTAAAACCTTGAAAACTACTCATGTTCTAAGGGCCTCATCTTTGAAAATGAAATCAGTAAAGTCAGAGTGGGCAGAAATGCAAGAATTGCAGGTTAGATAGTGCCACAGGCGCAGAGTGCACCCTGACAGCCCTGGGGTTGTGCTCAGGCAGCATGTGGGAAGGTTTTAGGGTTTCATACTGAAGGACAGAGCCTTCTGGGAGCAGGAGTGACCTGATCCAGCTTCTCAAGAGCAAGCTGACCTTGACTGGTCTACCCACAGGTACCTGGGCCATCTGAACGATGAAGAGTTTGAGAGTGCCCTACAAGAGCTGCGGCTGACCAGAAGCATCTGGACAATTGACCTGGCCTATCTGATGCGCCATTTTGGCGTGAGGCACCGCTTCTGTACCCAGACTCTGGGTGTTGACAAAGGTTACAAGAATCAGGTGAGGGGGGGCTGAGAAGGTGGCTCAGTGGTAGAGTGCTTGCTTCGCATGCATGAGACCCTGGGTTCAATTCCTCAGCACCATAGAAACAGAAAAAGCCGGAAGTGGTGCTGTGGCTCAAGTGGTAAAGTGCTAGCCTTGAGCTGAAGAGCTGAGGGACTGTGCCCAGGCCCAGAGTTCAAGCCCCACAACCAACAACAACAAAAAAAAGAATCAGGTCAGCAGCCAGTCACTGTACCTTCTCACCTGGAGCCAACCAGTATCATAGGCCAGTTATACTAGTTAGAAGAGAAAGCAGTCAAGGCCTGGACACCTAAGTGGTCATGTAAATATACAGAAAGCTGGACCAATAGTAGATGTGCTACAGGCAGGTAATCTTGAGGAACAGCCTGCCTTCCATGGAAACCAGAGAATCTTCATCTTTCCCTCCTATCCACCAGCACAAGGCAGGCTCAAGGCCGTACAGGGTATCAGACCTCATATAGCTATTGTGTGCTCATTTTCTTATTTCACAAGGACAGCTGGCTCTAGGCTGGGTAATTCATATTCTGATGAAAACCAAGATTGTCTTTCTTTTATTTTTTTCTCTTGAAAAAATAATGTTAAAATAGATAGCTGTGGTAACACACCAATATGTTCTACCTTCATACAAAGCCAGAACTAGTTTTAGCCAGAACTGCCATAGAGGCAGATCTTGGCTTATGCTCCAAAACTTGACAGAGCAGAGTCGCTGCTGACTTCATGGCCCAGTCATCCTAACTCTCATTTGAACCTTCCAGGCCAGATAAAGAAGGCCTGTGTGTCGTGTGTTGGGGGGGTGGGGGGAGGGGTAAAGGCCTGTGTATCTGGACTGGTTGAAGAATAGAAAGGGGCTGGCCCCCATTTGCTTTAGGCTGCTACAGATGGCTACCAGAAGGTGACCAGTCCTCTGCAAGTTTGGCTGCCCATGCTTGTATCCTTTTCCAGCTTCTATGGTCCTGTCTGTTCCCTGGTCACAAACCTCATATGGCCTATACAGACAGCATATTTTATGAGCTACTTCCCCTGTAGTAGGGCTTCTGTGTTTTTTTGCCCTCTCTCCATAATATCACTTCATCCAAATGGGGTGAAGATAGCTGGAGTAGGTGATAACTCTGGCTTGCCTTTCTCTCTTCAGTCGTTCTATAGGAAGCACTTTGACACAGAAGAGACCCGAGTGAACCAACTCTTCTCACAAGCCAAGGCCTGCAAGGTGCTGGTGGAGAAATGGTAAGTGATTGCTCATCATCAGTGACACTGCAGGTGGGGAGACTTTGTGATGGTGATGGGGATAAGCTGGGATACAAGTTAGAAAGAACAAGGGCTCCTTCCTAGGTAGCTGTGGATACTGATTTTGTCCATCTGAGCCTTGATAGTCTTTCCATACACTGGTGATCAGTGAGGCTACATAGCTCAAGCTCTGGCCTGGGATGGATCCTGAGCCCGTGTTGGAGGGACAGGGGAGTGAGAAACACTGGCCAGCTGTTGGATTATTAATAGGATGATGACACAGGACAGAACACAGAAGCCCTAATGTAGAAGTGACAGCTTGCAGAATGTGCTGGCAAGGTGATTGATAGAAACAGGAAGCAGGGAAGACCAAGTGTGTAGGCTGCCTAGGGAAACCTGGTCCCAGGAGTTGTGACCTTACTGGGGCCTCCCCATTCTCATCTATATGATGGGGGCTGGGTTCAAACAGACTATAGGGGCTTCTTGCCTGGATGTCGGTGGTGTTTTCCAGGCTGGCTGTGGAGGCCATGTGTAAGCCTACGTTTCTAATCCCTAGCCTAGTGGTCCTTCGCTGGACCACTGTTCTCAATTGTCCCTTTCTTTACAGATACTTGGTCTCTTGTTAACATAATTTTAACCACAATAGGAAATTAGAAAAATAGAGAAGCAAATTTCTATTCATCCTTTGGCCATATGAATACATGTGAGAAGGAAAGTAACTACTATTTATTTAGGGAGGACCCTCAACATGTCTGTTGCTGTCTCATTTCTCAGGGAGGGAAACTGACCTAGGGCCATCCCCATCATTGTGTCTGTGCTGTGATCCGAGCCCAGCATTTCCACCCCCATGATTGCATGAAGCTACAGCCTTCCCTTCCAGTCCACCACTGCTTATTTTTTTCCCCACAACTGAAATCCCCACTTGTACATACCACTGGAAACTCTGCCAGCTATTTTGTTTCAGATACCAAGTGGGAAAATGGTAAATTTCTTTGCCCATGATAGCAAACCAAACTACCTCATACCTTAGCTGGCACCAATCTTTGGCCCAATTCAAGCAGCCCTTTCAGCAAATGGCATCCCTAGCCTTCCAAAGCACCTTCTGTCTCTTTTGGGTTTTTACTTGAAGTTGCTGGCTACTAGGGGATACCAGAAGGGTGGGTTGAATCATATGCCTCCTGGTTAAGGGGTCAGTCAGCCTTTTTTTTTTTTTTTTTGGGTCCAGTCATGGGACCTGAACTCTGGGCCTGGGCGCTGTCCCTCAGCTCAAGGCTAGCACTCTACCACTGAGCCAACTTCCCAGCCCCTCAGTCAGCCTTTTCTGATTGATGCTTTTTGTCACAAAGAGTCTTAGAAAAAAAAAAAGAAAGAAAGAAATGCTTTTCAGAAAAGTGTTTGGTTTTTGCATCTGGCTAATCCAGTTAGATTAAATTGGGCTGGTCATTTCCAATGTAAACCACATAGGATTGGGGGTAAAGAAGAAATAATCTTTCATGATCCAGACTCCAGGCTAGGAGTAGCATTCTTTGTGCTGCCCCAGTGGCCCTCAGTTGGGTCCATCTGGAGCTGACCTCCGGCCTGCTTTTGCTGACAGGGCCAGCTAATCCTTGTGTTTTCAGTATTTCCTCCTTTCACCCATCTGCAGCACCCATACACATACTAGTTCCATGCTTAGCTCAGGTCAAAGTAATAAACAAGGGCTTTTCTGCAAGGAGCTCAGAGCACAGAGAAGACAAAGCCAGGTCTCTAAAACATTGTAACGCCAGGGAACAGGAGTGCAAGCTTGGATCCATCCACTTGAGAGATGTGAACTGAGCATCAATGTCACAAGCTGACCCCCTTCCTACCCACAGTACAGTAAGTGTGCAGGACATCCAAGCACACCTGGCCCAGGGCCATGTGGCCATCGTGCTGGTGAACTCAGGGGTGCTGCACTGTGACCTGTGCTCCAGCCCTGTCAAGTACTGCTGCTTCGCTCCCAGTGGCCACCGCTGCTTCTGTCGCACCCCTGACTACCAGGGCCACTTCATTGTTCTACGTGGCTACAACAGGGCCACTGGCTGCATCTTCTACAACAATCCAGCCTTTGCTGACCGTGAGTACTGGAATCAGGGTAGAATAGTTTGGTCTGTGCTCACTGTCCATTATGCCTGGTCCCTACAACTTCCTCCCATTCAACCCAGGATCTCCCTAAAGCTCTTTGATTCCTAAGTTCCTGTCATTTGGACTGCCCTCCTAGTCATGCAAGCAAACCAGCCACAAACGAAGCTCTGCTGGCCTCTTACCACCCCTCCCTCTCACATCGCTATCTCCACACTCCTGCCCAAATCTTCTCTCGGTTACCCAGGCTGTAATCTCCACCCCTCCCAACCTTTCAAGATAGCTGGCATACTTGTTAGAAAGTCTAGCTATCTGTCCTCAGGCCATGGAAAGACTTCTCTGACCTGTCCATGTGGCCTGGAACATGTTTCTTCCTCTCCCTGGACTTTCTCCATTTGCTAAAATGAGGAAGAGTCAGCAAAAGAACTGATGATGCCATAATAGACAAGGAAGACTTCCTGGGGGTGGGAGACTTGAGCCAAGATGCAGCTAAGCAGGTGGTACATACTCAGCCCCAGCTCCCCTCCACCTACTGACCCCACTCTTCCCTTTCCACCCTCAGCAGGAATGTGCAGCACCAGCATCAGTAACTTTGAGGAGGCCAGAACCAGCTATGGCACAGATGAGGACATCCTCTTTGTCTACCTGGACAGCTGACAGTAAGAGCCTGGTATGCCCAGGCCTACCTGCCCCTAGCCAGGCAGGTCTACTCAGGATGCCCAGGCTGGGGGCTTCCGGGGCTAGGATGCAGAACTGTAGCATCAGTCTGTCTGACAAAGCCCTGGAGAACTCTAGGAAACTATGGTACAGCTAGTTTGTCAACCAGTGCTATGCGTCACCATGCCACTTACCCTAAACACCTGCTGATTGCTGAAGACATCCCCAGAGCATCTGAGGGGAGTCTCCCCCCAGACCCCAAACCCAATTCCAACTGTGTGCAGATGAAGTCCTTCCTTAGGGATACCCATGTTGTCTTCTGGCAAGGGGAAAGCTCTGGCCTCAGGACTGATCCTTGGAGAGAGAAGTGTGTGATCTTCTGCTGCTTGTCAAGACAGCGTCTGTGTTTGGAGAAAGCACAGCTGAACCCAGGCCCCAGAAACTGGACCCCTTAAAGCCCAGATCTAGAAGTGTTCCATAGCACCCCCTTCCCCAACCCTGCCCAATGGTGGATGCCACTATTACTGCCTCCTGCCTTCAGCATGTGCAAGTTTCTGTGACCACTATCAAGGCTAATGCAGCATAAAACACCTCACAGCCAGTCTGCAGCGCAGACATAGGAATGCTCCCAGCCTTTTGGGTACTACAGTTCCATAGGGTGGAGGGCCTTTGGGAGTTGCTGGGCCTGGCTCCACTACTGGTTCTGTTAGCCAGCAGCACAGAAATTCTCCAGGAATCAACAGCTGCCCAGACCTGAGAGAGCCTTTTATTTCCTTGACGCCTTCTGGCACCAGCCTGAATCTGAAGAGCAGGGGCTGTCGTCTGAGGGTGGGGACCGCCAGGTCTCTGGGGGCTGAGTGCTCCCAGAACAATGGTCAGGAGGCAGCATACAGCTCCTACCCACTCACACCAGGACCTTTTGCACGGAACCTTGGCTCCTGTCTGTCTTGACAGAGGAGGGGTAACACCAGAGTCATACAGCACAGCAAGTAGCAATGACAGAAATTGATTGCTTTTTCTTTTTGGAAGCAGGAATGTTTATTTTATTGAAATTTAAGATTTTGCTTTTTTTGGGGGGGGTGAGTGTCACCTTCAAGTAAAACAATAATAGTGAGACTGCAGGTACTTTGGAACCACTAGTACCTCTTTCACACAGCAGGTAAGCTAGCTCAAGTTTTTTCAAAGAAGAGGCTTAGCCAGTGGTCTGAGTGCCAGGCCCCTTACCTTACAGAGGAGGAGGCTTGAGCACTGGGGACAGCCTATCAAGACTGGTGGAGCTGGATCGTGAACCTACATCTGTACCTAAGAAACAAGGGAAATAGGTCATTCTCAAAGAGGCTAGGGACACCCATCTCTCATGGACTGCCTCTGGCAAAGAGGCAGGGGTACCCTGATAGCACACCATCTCTACATTTCTGGGACTTGATCTTCTATTACCCCAGGTATGATATGGAAGCAGCTGCTTCTCCTGCCCACCAGTGGCCCTCTCTCATCTTGGTAGCTCTGAGGGGCAGAGGTAGTTTGCGCTTAAAAGGGCTGTCAGATCACCTACCCATATTGCTCCTCAATACTGGACAGCATTGGCCCAAGAGGGAGATGCTTTCAGCTAGGAAGCAACTCTGGACTTCAGACACTCATGTTAGCTTTTGTCTGGTTTCATTTTCATTGCCTTAATGCTAGATCACCCATGGCTCCAGGGAATTCTGATTTCCAGCCCCTAATACTCACAGCTGCTGTGAAGTATGAGTGTCCTCAGGAGAGGTTCAGGTGTGAACTTCTCACAAGAATAACTTCATGAAGGAAGCTGACAGGACCAAGCGAAGCCCTCATGCTATGTGGATGTACATGAAGTGTGGTGTCCATGCTGGCATGGTGGTCATTGGGAAGTGACCTCCACAGAAAGTAGTCACAGCACCTCTTCCATCCAGGACATTTAGGAATGTTGTCTTTGGGTCCAGATAATGGATTTTCAGAGCAAGTTATAGATTACAGGTCACCTGTTGGTAAAATTAACAAAACGTACACACACACACACACACAAACAACCCTGCTCATCCCCAAGACACAGAGGAGAATCATAAAGACAGTACACAAGCCACACTGTGTTCTTGCACAAGTCATGAAAATGGGATTGAAAAAAGAGCCTGGACATCAGGGACTTTGTCCACAGCACATGGCACCCTCAATTGCCTAGCCCATCCTCACACTGCACCCCAGTCAGTGCAACCTCTGAAGCCATGTGGGACAGAAAGTGGCTTTGTTCCCTCCAGCCACAAGGGGATGAAAGGGATCTTTTGCATTGCAGAGATTTTATACATAAATATATTTTATTTGTAATGAGCCATTCTCAATAAACATTACTCTTACTGCATAATAATGGTATCTCTTGGCTGGCCTTCATGATCTTGTGTTAAGCTGCAGGATTCCTAGCTCATAGGTCCTAGCAGGTTCCCATTTTAGTTGTGACAAATCCCTCCACTCAGACCTTGATGTTCATCCAAAGCCTAGAGAGGCAGTGGCTGTAGAAGGGCTTCAGAATTCAGACTACTTGTTAAAGAAGGTGGAGAACGGGCTGGGGAGTTGGCTCAGTGGTACAGCGCTTGCCTTGTCTACATGAGGCCCTGGGTTTGATTCCTCAGCATCACATAAGCACAAAAAAGCCAGAAGTGGCACTGTGGCTCAAGTGGTAGAGTGCCAGCCTTGACCTAAAGCACTGAGGGACAGCACCCAGGCCCAGAATTCAGCCCCCCACAAACGACAAAAAGGTGGAGAACAGCTGGCTTCAGGAGGAAATAGAAAGAAGACTTGAGATCCACAGGAAGGAGCAGAGTTGGAAGTTCATTAGCAGGACTCCAACCCTTCATGTACCCTGCACCCTGTGTTCCAACTCTAACTGCACTTACCTGTCAGGTAATGGGTTCCAGGGTTTCACTTAAATCATTTTATATCAAAATTCTACTCACGAACAAGGAAATGTTTGAAAGTTGTGGCTGATCTAGCAGCCTCAAAACTGTTACAAAAGCTGGATACTGATGACTCATACTTGTAATCCTAGATACTCAGGAGGCTGAGATCTGAGGATTTTGGTTCAAAGCCAGCCTGGGCAGGAAAGGCCAGGAGACCCTTATCTCCAGTTAACCACCAGAAAACCAGAAGTGGAGAGGTAGTTCAAAGTGGTAGAGTGCTAGCCTTGAGCAAAAAAGCTCAGGAATAACACCCAGGTCCTGAGTTCAAATCCCATGACCAACAAAAACAACAACAACACAAAACTATTGGGCTGGGAAGGTGGCTCAGTGGTAGAGCACTTGCCTTGCATGCATGAGGCCCTGGGTTCGATTCCTCAGTACCACATAAACAAAAAGAAAAAAGCCGGAAGTGGCGCTGTGGCTCAAGTGGTAGAGCACTAGCTTTGAGCTGAAGAGCTGAGGGACAGCGCCCAGGCCCAGAGTTCAGGCCCCACAACCAGACCCCCAAAAACAACAACAACAAAAACTGTTAAAGGATCGGGGCATTGAACCACAGCAAACTTCTTGGGTTGGGAGCAAGTCTTCCACAGAATTAATGTCCTAATTCTGACTTCCACATTGTGGACTTTATTTTTATCTTTAAGTAGTTGTATAAAAGAGTTGCCATTCAACAGAGTAGTATATGGATACAACGAATTTTATATGGATACAGTGAATTTTTTTTTTTTTTGGTCATGGCACTTGAACTCTGGGCCTGGGCGCTGTCCATCAGCTCTTCAGCTCAAGGCTAGGACTCTACCACTTGAGCCACAGCACCACGTGTAGCTTTTTCTGTTTATGTGGTGCTGAGGAATTGAACCTAGGGCCTAATGAATGCAAGGCAAGCACTCTACCACTGAGCCATCTTCACAGCCCCAATACAATGAATCTTGACCCAGGTCACCCCTTTTTTTTTTCCTGGTTGTAGGCCTTGAACTCAGGGCCTGAGTTCTGTTCCTGAGCCTCTTTGTGCTCAAGGCTAGAGCTCTACCACTTGAGCCACAGAACCACTTCTGGCTTTGGAGTTGTTAATGGGAGATAAGACTCTCACAGGGTGGCCCTGCCCAGGCTGGCTTCAAACCACAATCCTTAGATCTCAGCCTCCTGAGTAACTAGGATTACAGGTGCAAGCCACCAGCACCTGGCCCTTGTCATCTCTTTCATCATTTTCCCCCATCCCAACCCCACTTCCCTCATTTTTTTTCTTTTTCTTTTTCTTTTTTTTGTCAGCTGTAGGGCTTGAACTCATGTCTGGTAGCTGCCCCTGAGCTCTTTTGCTCAAGGTTAGCACTCTAGCACTTTGAACCATAGTGCCACTTGTGGTAATTGGAAATAAGAGTCTCACAGAACAGCCGGGTGTTGGTGGCTCAGGCCTGTAATCCTAGCTACTCAGGTGGCTGAAATATGAGGATCAAGGTTTAAAGCCAGCCCAAGCAGGAAAGTCTGTGAGACTCATATCTTCAATAAACCACCAGAAAACGGGAAGTGGTGCTGTGGCTCAAGTGGTAGAGCTTTTGCCTTGAGCTGAAGATCTGAGGGACAGCGCCCAGGCCCAGAGTTCAAGCCCCACTACTGACAAAAAAAAAAAGTCTCACAGAACAGTCTTTCCTGTCCAGGGTTGGCTTTGAACCATGATCTTCAGAGTTTAGCCTCCTAAGTAATATTACAAGGCATGAGCTACTGGTACCTGGTTCTTCAATTTTCTTTTTTTTTTTTTGAATGTTATACAGGAAATAAACTTTATTTATCTCTTCTTCCTAGATGTCATTGCCAGTTACAGATTTGCATGCAATAGGTATTTATTGACTATTTACAATTTACAATAGTACTCTTTCCTCTGAAAAATGTAAGTACAAAAGTTCAGTAAATAATGAGGTACTGCCGTTTGGGACATCTGTGTGACAACTTAAAGAATTAATCTTTAGCAAATATTCAAAAAAACTGGGTAATAAAATAATTTATCTGAAAAATACTGTTTTACCTCAAAACATTGCACAAATTTTTGTTTTGTTTTGTTTTGTTTTGGGTCCGGTTGTGGGGCCTAAACTCTGGGCCTGTGCGCTGTCCCTCAGCTCTTCAGCTCAAGGCTAACACTCTACCACTTGAGCCCCTCAGCTCTTCAGCTCAAGGCTAACACTCTACCACTTGAGCCCCTCAGCTCTTCAGCTCAAGGCTAGCGCTCTACCACTTGAGCCACAGCACCACTTCCGGCTTTTTTCTTTTTGCTTATGTGGTGCTGGGGAATCGAACCCAGGGCCTCAGGCATGCAAAGCAAGCGCTCTACCACTGAGCCACCTTCCCAGCCCCTGCACAAATTTTTAAAAAGGAAAAAAAACCCTAAAATAAATAAGAAAGGCAAGCATTTCTTTAAAAGGGAGAAGAGGGTCAAAAAGAATGAGTAAGAAACAGGATATAAACATTTGTTGCTAACCACAACCTGTGACATCACTACAGGATACTGGAGCAGAAGAAATGAGAAAAGACAGAACAGGAAAGTGTGGAACTAAGGGGTCCAGTGCTCACCAGCTTCTGAGCCCGGAGCTCCCATAAACAAGTTTATTTTTCTAGTTCAGTACAGGGGAGGTCACTACAGATACATGCAGAACATAGGATATCAATCTATCTTGTGGTTGTGACCATTAACATGAGGTATAGTTTGTATACCTCATATAGTGAGAATTGACTTCTTATCATTAGGAAGCAGAGGGGATGGTAAACATTTAACCATAGAACAAACATTTGTCTTATTTCCAAGGTCTCAAGCTTTTAGAGTCCAAAAAGCACTAGTGTAAACAAACAGGGTAGTAACTTTCACATTTGTATAAAGGTCTGTTTGAATTTTCCAGAGGATCCAGTTCTCACCCTTTTGAGTACTGCACAGTCATGCGCAGTCATCATTCCAACCTCTTCACCCTTTCCTGACTTACTGCTCTGCCCCAGAGCTCTGCCCCAGGTTGCACCTCCCCTCACTTTCTCTCTTTATTCATCTACCTTCCCCCACCTCCACCCCCATTCTGAGTACCTGATTCCTTGTACTAACTTTTTTTTTCTTTTTTTTTTTTTATCAGTCATGGGGCTTGAACTCTGGGCCTGGGCACTGTCCCTGAGCTCTTCAGCTCAAGGCTAGCACTCTATCACTTGAGCCACAGCACCACTTCTGGTTTTCTGTTGGTTAACTGGAGATAAGAGTGTCACAGACTTTCCTGGCTGGCCTGGCTATGAACCACGATCTTCAGATCTCAGCCTCCTGAGTAGCTAGGATTACAGGTGTGAGCCACCGGCACCCGGCCTGATGTTAATTTTGTTGGACTGTGAGTTAGATTTTCTAAGGAATGACGCCCTTTGAGTTTTCCCCTGAATCTACCATATTTCAGTTAATATACTTGTGTGCCCTTGGAAACACCCCAAAGTGTATATTTATTTATAGATTAATTCTAGCTTCTTCATATGAGAAAAAAACATACATCCTTTGTCTCTCTGAGCTTAACTTGCTTAACATGATTTTTTCCTAGGTCCTTCCATTTCTTTGCAAATGATTCAATACCATTCTTTCTAAACCTATGGAAAGCCTCATGAACTTATGTGTCATCCTTGTCCAGGGGCCATGCTTATTTTCTCTGTATCTGGGGTGCCCAGATAGAATGTGCTGGGCAGCATACAGGTACTCTGTTTGCCTCCCCTTATAGAGTTGGTAATGAGTTAGACCTTCCCTTCACTTCTGCTTGAGCCCTCTTCCCACCCTAGAAAGAGGGGCCCTATCCTGGATGAGTACATCTTGGGCCATGGGCATTTGAGAAATGATTAAATGCAATTATAGGAGACAAATAATGAGGCAGGTAAAGCAGAAAGGACAAAATAGGATGGGGTGGTTAGGCCAGGATGCAGTAAAGGGTAGGGATAGTGAGGTCATAGACTAAGCACGTCAGCAAGAAATCCCATCAGGTGCTGGAGGTGTAGCATAAGAGGTAGAGCACCTGCCTGGTAAGTGTAAGGCCTTGAGTTCAAACCTCAGTGCCACCAAGAAAAACCGAACAACTTCGCTTGTACTTGCTTTGGCAGCATGTATACTAAAATTAGAAGCCCAATTAAGAGCTAAGAGGCCAAGCTAGGGCAGAGATTTGGGCCCTAGAGACTACACCAGTACCTGTACCCAGGAGTCAGAGGCCACACATGCCATTCGACCATGCTAATCTATTTAGTCCTACCTAGTGTTTGGTAGACTATAGTACCACCTTCCCCGGTACGAACCTCCTGTCTGCATATCACCTCATGAGGCCATCACGCTCTCTTGTCTTATGATCTTTGTGGGCCACCAAAGCACACTGAGCCCTCAGTTCCAAAGAACATGTCACAAAATGGATTATTTCCACCC